TCTCTAATTACTTCTTTATCCTTGAGTACCATTGATTTTCTAATGGATAGTGATTCATAAAACACATTCATGAATCGGAGCTCCTACTGGTCCAAGTACCGAATCAACCCTCAAGAGAATTATTTATCTACTTCTTTCTAAGAAGGAATGGATTCCATCTCGTGTAATAACATTCCCGGCTACCTACTTCATCATGTCTCCAAAATACAAGGAATATGATTCAGGATCTCAGAATCCGTACCGAGTAAATCAAAAGACACAAATCCATAAATAGGAGTCTGTTAAGAACTCATGATTAAGATCATTCTATATATGACCATCGGTAGACTCAATTAGAATTTCTATACTTAACGGAAATTATTAGAAATTCATATTGTGTCTGTGTCCATGTTACACATAATCTCATTATGCAAAATACACTCATTCAATATCTCATCATATTAATAGTGCAGATAACACCGTTCCATTCTAAATGGGAATGACATGTATTAATAATGTTTTAATTAAAGATTCTGAACTTTAATTAAATTCATTATGAACATTACTTTTTTATTATTATCCTTAAACATTATCCTTTCGTATATAACACTTATATACAATGTTTAAGGTTACATAAATAATCATGGAATTTTTATTGATATTAATAAAATATTCATAAATATATGCACATAAAATAATGAATAAACTCTTTTATTAAATAAATAATAAATATCATATTACATCTTATGCTTCTAGGACACCATTCCCAACACATTTAACACTGTATTTATCAGTAAGTATTGTATTTACTAATAAAAATTACATTTATCTGAAATTCTGGCCACCGACTCCAGCAACCGTTTAACACCGTATTTACCAGTAAATACTGTATTTATCAATAAATACAATTATTAGTAAAAATCATATTCATCCGATATTCCGACTATCAATTCCGGCGACCGTTTAATACTGTATTTACCGATAAACACTATATTTATGAATAAATATCATATTTACTAATAAAAATCATATTTATATAAAAATCCGGCCAACGACTCAGACGACCGTTTAACACTGTATTTACTAATAAATGTTAAATACCGTATTGACAAATCACAAAAAATAATATATGCAAAAAATTTGTATCCACAAATTCTCATATCACAGAGGGCTTGTTCTTATAGAGTTTTTGAATTAGGATGACTTGAGTTCAAATTTTAATTTGAGTTAAGGTGTATTTGAGTATAATTTAAGTTAAAATTCTAATTTGAATTTGTGTTTAGATGTGCACATTTAGAGTCATGATTTGAATTGAGAATCTATTTGAATTTGTGTATAAGTTAGTCATAACTTGAATTTGTATTTAGATAGTATTTTAATAAAAACTTAACGGTGATAGAAAATTTTAATAAGGTATATAGATAAGATTTTATTCATCTTTTCGTTGTAAATGCATAAAAAAAAAAAAAAATCATCTCAACACATGTTAAATGTACTATATCCTGTATTTTCCCAATCTAAAATCATATCGTCAACAGACATATTTCTCGCGCGCAAAACAAAGTCCTTATTTCTTCGAACAGCTTTAACTTTATCCCAATAAATGGTATACAAAACATATTGAATAATCTATGAGTGAGCTTTTTGTGTCAACTCAAAGAAATAAAACGTACACGAAAGATTAAAAAAAAAAACCAAAGACCCCAACGCTACAAAAATTATGTAAATAACCAGCACCACCTAAGCCAATTACTTGAAGAACAGGTAGTGTGTTGAACTATTCCGAGTCCCTAACGCTCTCGCTTGTGCGCCAGATCTTCTTTTGGATAACAAAAACTGTTTCATCCTCACCTCGCTCCGCGTCTTGAGTTGCTTCAGCTGTGGCCACAGCCTCCCAGTGTAACGATTTCAAGTAACTTTTGATGAACTCCACCACCCGTGGCTTGTCGCGGACGATAATGAAGCCTTTTGGCCTGAGGATCCTGTCCATCTCGATCAACAGATCCACCGCACTGCATCTCTTCTTCTCGATGTCAGAGAAGACATCCCCAGCATGAAGCAAATCATATGTTCTCGGGTAGGTAGAGAAGGCTTCACACCTGCCATTGATGTAATCAAAGGTTGTTGAACGTCGATCAATGCTAGATATAGTTAATGGTTGTAAATTATAAATCATGTTTGCGCCCTTAGCACTACCAAAAAGGTAGTTTCTTCAACGTTTTCAGCAACAATGAATCGATGCATTCTAAAGAATGAAGAAAAATGGTTTATTTGTTTCACAAGGTTTTAGCTTGTTATCTGATGTCACCAGTTAGAAAAATCTAAAGTTGTACTCACACAGAAAAATACCGAGCTCCAAAACAGATAAAGTCAATGATGAGATATTAACAGAATTGTTTGAACGTACCAGTTGTGAACTGTGCCAATAAGACCTCTGTCGTATATGAGTTTGAGTGCGTTAGGCCCATCCTCTGGCACCACATTCATTACCCACACATCTTTGCCTTTCAAAGCAGCAGCAAAGGAACCTATGTTTGCCTTCATGTCCATTATGTTCCTAAGTGTGTTTGACTCGATCTTTGGTTTCAACAAATTCCAGTAATTGTCAACTCTTTGCTGCCAAACTTCCTGCAACACATACATTCGGTCACAAACCAAGTTCTTCTGCTCATTGTCATGAACACATATATCCGGACAAGATATGGAATTGTGTATGTGTAGAGTGATCGAGTATAAATAAAGGATTACCGTATCCTTGTCAAACATATCAGTGGAAACTCCAAAATCAGCTAGGCGGGGAGGTGGACTGGTCAGTCGAGCAGGCCAAGGAGCCAAATCACTTCCTTTTGCTCTATGGATTTCTGAAAATTTTGAAAATTGTTTGGTTAGAATTTTTCCGATTCGGAACGCAAATCATGTTATGCATGGCTACTAACACCAAAATGATGGAAACCTAAGCTTCAAAGAAAAAGGGATAAAATGCATACTGCATAGGACTCTTTTACTCTACACAAGAGATACAACTCGATGTGCAAGATAAATCGAAGATTAAATGGTATGAAACGCATCTAACTTACGTCAATGATGTGATCAGACTATTCGGTTTCAGATAGTTCTGAAAATCAAATTATGTCCATAATAACATTAAACGAAACACTACTTACGTTCAGAGTATGGTGTGATGCAAGGCTCCATATTCACACCGTATACAGCATCCGGATCTTCATCAGGTTTGCATAAAGGAGGTAGAGTACCGGGTGGTCTTTTCATGTAGCAATCATTAGTCAAGGGCTTGACCCAAATAACAGTTTGGTTCCTTTTAGCAGCTATTTTCCAACACATGCGCTCCACAAGCGCACTCATCTTTCTCCATATTCTTAGATCCTCTTCGTCCTGTGCATAGGCTTCAGGAGATGAGTAAGCAAAATAGCCTCCTGGTCTTAGTAACCTATCCAGCTCAAGAAGAAGGATGCCATCCCTTTGAAGCCAATCAATCCTACATCGGGAACAATGCGCGAGCTCGAAAGATCTACTTGGGTAAGGGAGCCTCTTTGTCCCCAAGACACCAAGATATGCAGGAATACCTCTCTCTAAAGCAAACTGGATCTGGTTTTGGTGAACGTCATTGGGTGCTAAGGACATTGCAATAATATCTGACGACAGAAGGTAAGCTCCAAAACTAGCAACTCCACAACCGACATCAAGGACCGTACGAATCTTCCCTCCATTATTTAAGTTATTGTTCGGAAAGTTTAGCATCTGCCAGTCCAAGTCATAAAGTAAGTTCACCAACGAGAGAACGAATTAAACAATTACATTATTAGCTTTATTTTTGCCCTCATATGAAAGTACGGGTTCACTTACATTAGCAATCGATGCAATGTATTTACCAGCTCCATAATGGAAGTGAGTTCCTCCTCCAGGAAATACAACCTTTTCACCTTTGACAACCATCCAATTTTGGTCAGACTTCTCAGTTGCAAGGTGAGTATGGGGAATATTTGCTTTCCATACCTCATCTCTGCTCTTAGGCCACTTGATTGGAATCTGTTACAGCAGAGAAATTAGTATTTAATGCTAAGAACTGAACCCAAAATGGTATATAAGTTCATCTGACCCCATAAATCTATAATAATTCACCTTATATCCCGGTGGAGGAGGGATTAAACAATTGTATCGCCTTTCGGGGAGTGGGCAATGTCTCTCATAATGCTCCATCACAGAAAGATCCAGCTTCAACCTCATTTGGTAAATAAGGTTTCTGTCTAGGCAAGGAATCAGCTCCGAATGACGATCATCACACACCTTTAATATAGAGACAGAACCAAAATATGTACGTAAGGCTAAAGCAGAAAACAAAATCCCAAACAACACCTGTAAAAACAAGAATAACTCACTGGAAAGCTCTTCGGTATAAAACCATCTTCTCCATCTTCCCCAAGAACCGAGGGCGACTCATCAGCGTCTTCATCTGAACCCAAATAAGAGCTGAACTTTCTTAATGATTTACTTCCATACTCCAGAGCAGATGAACCGCTTTTCCGTGAGTATATGAATAGGACACCACAAATGACCACCAAACCCAAAATCACACCAACCAACCGTTTATTTTGGCCCCCATCAGGTCTTCCTCTCGACATTTTTGTAGCCGATCTACTTAGACTAGAACGTACAGAGCTCAAAAGCACTTCTTATTACACCCCGGAAACAATTGATCCGGAAAAAAAAGAAGAGATCACCACTGAATGCAATAAGTCCTCAAAATTTTCTCCATCACAAGCTAGAACCGTTTCTAATCTAACTTATCAAAAATTAGATTTCAGATGTTCTACGCAATATAGGTGTATATAGGGACACGATCCAGGACCACTGCAATTAATCAACCTCGTAATTAGTACACTGCAGTTTTCACAAAGCTAAAAGAAAGAAAACAAGTACAATTCGTGTTTAGTAGTATCAAATCAATCAATGAAGTACATTTTTATGGGGGAAAAATGACATTTTCACCGTCGAAAACATTTCATTGCAATCAACAATATTGCTTTCTATATCTTAGGAAAAGAAGCAAAAAATACAGATGAAGTGAGAATGAAGGAGATCTCGGGCTATGCATTCAAAACTACATCACAAACCAAGTTAAACAAATATAATAACAACAAAAACTAAAATATACCAATCTCAAAGATGGGAATCAAATCCAAGCCAGTTTTTTGAAAGAAGATCCAGTAATGGAAAGCAACCGTGGTTTATAGCATAGATGCCTTATCAACTTGCATAAAGACGGATGGGGAGGAGGGCAAAAGAGGAAACAACAAATTACAAAAAAAAAAGAAGGAAAAATTAAGACGCGCAAAGCACCGACAACAATTGCCAGCTATGAATGTGTCACCTTCAAAACCCAACTCTTATAATCAAAAAAAAAAGAAAAGCGTCGGCAAAACAGCAAAACTCCCACTGAACTGAGTGATTTGATATGTCAAACTCAAACCCACAAAAGAATTAAAGTCGGATCTTTTCTTTATTTTAAAAGAAGAAAAACAAAAGGGGAGTTGAACATTTTATGACCCATTTGAAGAAAAAACAGAAAATGGGCATCTTCAAAAAGACTCGGGCGCAATGGATCTGGAACGTATATGGGTTTTAGTTCAATATATAATATATATGTTTGTGTGAGTATTTATATACATATATATGGATTGAATGAAAACTTACCTCCTTAGATACAGATTTTCGTTTCTTCGTTTCAGAGAGACAGGACAAGAACACAGAGAGAGAGGCGATGATGAACGTCCAAGCTAGTGGACAGCGTTTAGCCAGGAAGTAAGAAAGAAGGAATATATGAATGAACGAGTATGTTCGATTGAGATCTAACGTAAATATAGAGAGAGAAAGAAGAGAGAGAGAGAGAGAGAGAGAGAAATGCTTTTGCGGAGTGGGGTGTTCACACGACCCAGCGCGGACACTGCAACGCGACAAACGACACGAGTCATCTCTCCGACACTTTTTCCCGTTTTAGATTGGAAACTAGAATTTGCCTCATTTGCACTATACGCACTGTCGTACTGAAGTTTTCACATTCATGTCGTTTATCAAGAGGTTTACCGTCGCTTACGTCAACGCGGATACACGTCCGACAAACAGACAACGTTGCGTTTTTTCCCCCCCTAAACGACATTATATTTAATTTAAAATGAATGATTATCGTCATTTGTCGTTTCTTGTTGCTTTATTAATCGACATCTAAAAAAAAAAATTTAACTGATGCCGTTTTTCATAAACTAATATGTCAATTTTGCCGTGCTGCTTCGAGTTGAATGTTTCGCGTGCTTGCCATTCTTGTAGGGTGTAAAATTGATGTCGTTTGCGAAAAACATGATGCATTAAATTGTTTCGGGTAAAAAAATTGTTAGTTTAACGGAAATATGATTTGTGGTTAGTTAGGCTTTCACGGATTTAAGTTTTTAATATTTTTTAAAAGTTTTTAATTATAGTAAAAAAATTAAATGTAATATTTTTTAAAAATTTTTAATTATAAAAATTTAGAACTGAAAACTCGAATATGTAAAATTAACCAGACTTTAGTATATCACAACATGCTGTCGTTTTTACTTGAAAACGACACGTCTTACATCAATATGTATAACACGACACGTCATAATTCTTTAACACTTTGATTCGTGTCTCGTCCTTATAGTAAAACTGTTGTCATAAAATGACACGTCGTTTCATTTTTGGAAGTCTACATTCATTTCTCTAACACGTCGCTTATAGGTAAGAGTTTGCTCATATTTGGGTTTTATTGTTATTATGATATTTTTTTTATAAAAAAAAATACAAATTTGTTAATTGTTTAGAAACGACATTTGTTTCTGCAAAAAAAAAAAAAAAAAGATGTTTATTTTATCTTCCATGCGAAAAATAACATGCCGCTTCCATTCGACATAACAAAAATTGACGGCATATTATACATCTACCCAAAAAATTTATTAGTATTTAAGAAGATAGAAATGTATTGTAATAATTTCAGAATTTGATGTTGTTTATGATAAAACGACGCAGCCCCATTTAATTTTAAATTTGATTTAGTTTAAGGATTTTAGAGGACTGTGGTTATTTAAGAGAGAAAAAAAATCTCTTTAACATGCCTAGCGTCGTTTCTGAGAGAATATGGTTTCTACAGTTCTGTTGCCAAAAAAAAAAAAAAAAAAGGTTTCTACCGCTCTCTTTTTTTTTTTTTTTTTTTTTTTTTTTTTTTTTCCGAATCAAGTAGTTTTCCAGGTGTCGTCGTTGTCATATTGACGTCGTTTTTTAATGTTTTTGCTAATGGTAGCGTCGTTTACTATTAGATGTCGTTTTCTAGGATGCCCTAAATATTTTTCCTTTTCTGAAGATTGGAAATCCCCTCTCTTCTTCCTCATGTGAAACCAGTTATTAGACCCAAAATTCCAGTTATCTTACCCGCCTAGGTACGAGATAATTAATCCCCTAAACTTTGACGATCCTCATTAATTAGTCCCAGAACATTCCGGAAAGCGTGATAAAACAAGTTGCTGGATATTGCCAAATTTTGCAACCCAAATTTGACGTCGAACAAATAATTCACTGATTATCTTTATTCTTTACGTCGCGGTTGCCCAAATTTCTCATCGGATTCGAAGTTTTGAACGCATAAACAATGGAGAATTATGGCTCAGAATCTTCAAAAGGAAAGAAACGACGGCGAGAGGAAGAAAGCGCAGCTGAAAGCAGCGATTTTGATCAAATTCTGTCTCTCGGTCGGTAATTTTCTCGCCCTTAATCATAAGTTTTGTTATTTTGAGAATTACTGTTAATTTATTGTGATTATTGTGCAAATGCAGAGAAAAGTCTAACTTTTAGCGATACTATGGTGGCGCTTCGGATAATGCGAGCTCAATTTCCTCAAATTGACAAGGTTAGGAGGATAAGAATAGCAGTTTTTTTTTTTTTTTTTTTACATCCAATTTTCCGTTTCGTGTTTTGACATCAGATTTTGTGTTTCATTGATTAGCTTGTACCAAAAGAAACAAAAAGTGCTCCCTTTTTTCTTTTTTTTTTGTTTTGTTTTGTTTTGGGTTTTTTTTTTTTAGTTGTTGTTGTTGTTGTGGGGGATCTCATTGCCAATGATATCTGTAAAGCTTCTTTTTTTTTTTTTTTCCCGAAGTCTGAGCAACCAATCTGTTGCGTTTGAGTAAATATCAGGTTGGCTAATTAGATTTGGATCAATGCAAGCTTTCTTGAACGAGTTCAGTTAAGCTGATCGCTAGCTGCTTGGTACATTTTATTTGCTGCAGAATTTGTTGTTGTTGTCAATAGTTTTCGACCAATGGAACGCAATAGTAGATAAGTAATATTCAATGTGGTCTCTTATTTAGTGTCAATATTGTTTATCTGAGGCGCGCAATGCTTTCAGGTTTCGATTCAACCATTCATTTTGCAGTCGCAACTGTATAGCAGTGTAAAGGACAGGACCCGGGTGGATAGGGATTTAGAGGTCTGTCGATTTTTTTTACCTTGATTTTTGTGTGTGGATTAGACATAGTGGTCAATATGTATTGATGGCATTGTACATTTGTACTTGTTTTAGAGTATATGTCTAAGAATTGAAGAGATTTAAGGTGCGTTTGGAATTAGTTTTAAAATGATTTTATTTTTAATAAAAAGTAAAAATGAGATTGTTTTGAGAATCATTTTGATATCGATTCTGAAATTGCGTTTGGTTGGTTTTTTAAGAGATTATTTTGAGTATAATAAAAAAATAAAATCGTGTTTATTAATTAATATATTATAATATTGTTGACAAATACTAAAAAATGAAAACAGAAAAGTGAAAACAACTTTTAACTGTTTTCTAATTCATTCATAAAAATCATTCTCACTGTTTTCGTTTTTATTTTTGTTTTCAAAACATTTGCTAAACAAACGTCATTTCGTTTTCATTTTTATTTTTTACTTCTCGAAATACGTGAAAACCGTTTTAAAAAACGGTTCCAAATAGGCACTTAAATTTTGAAGATTGGACCAAAGTTCTTATTGCCTTAGGGGAAATGTAAACCCTTTATTTTGGCTTATAGCATTTTCTTTTATGCAGTCTCTGAAAAGGGAGAAAGTACTGCGGATTTTCAAGTTGAATACTGGACAAGATGATCATGCAATAATGTTTTCAGAGGACTATTCAAGCCAGGTTTTATTTGTTTTTATATTTATTTTTATTTTTTTCAACAAAAGAAGTGCATTTATGTTTTTATGTATATGGTGCGCTTGGTTTCTTTCAATTGGCTAATATGACCGATGCGATACCTTGCATATAGTTAATCTAATACTTCTTATATAGATAGAACGTGTCAAGAAAAGATCGCAAGAGAAGAAGCTTGGCAACCTTGAAGTTTTTGAGTGGTTTAAAACACACGTCATTGATTTCAAGTTGGAGCCTAGCATTGAACATCATGAACTTGTGAGTATGTTGAAATTTCAAATACAATCTGCTTGTGTGTATAAACCTTTCTTATACCTGCTTTGCCTGCTGGGGAAACTGAAAAAAAAAAAATTGGCATTTCCTTGCACATATCAGAATTCTGTCATAAAAGTCAAATGTGAATTGTTTTTATCTCACGCTCTTTTTAGTTTTTAAGTCCATGGTAATCTATTTTTTTCCTGTGACAATACCGTGCATATGAATTTGGCTATAATGATGCGTTGCAGAGCATTAGCCATTTATTTTTCTTGGGCATCTTAAATTCAGAATTTCAGCTGAGTATCCTGATCTTTAAAATAATAATAAAAAAAAGACAACGACCTCAAAAAGATGTGTAGTGTAGTTGTACTTTTTATGTAACATTACTCATAACATGGATTTTGATAAGCCAAAAGATTTTGCTTATTGGGATTCATTAGTTTTATTAGTTGGCTGCAACTCTTATGCAGCTCTGAAAAGTTCTTAAAAATTTAACGTTAGTTTCTATTGCTTGAAGTTTTGGTTATCGGATACATCTAAAACAGTCCTAATAAATGTCGTCTCTGCTGCAGTGGACACTTTTATCACTTGGAGGAAAGGTGAAGGATGAGCATATCTCCCTTCTAATAAATGCTGGGCTTCTTGTAAGTGAGCTTCACATTCTCATTCACCTACCATATTATAACAGTTTGTTTTTTTTTTTTTTTTTTTTTTTTTTTTTTTTGGGTTTTTTTTTTTTTTCTGATTAATGCTCGGCTGCTTAATCTACTATATTAAGCAATGAAAGCCTAGTAAGTAGGGGGTGGCAATTCGTGTCACGTGTCGTGTTTTGATTGTTTCTTTTTAAATTTACAGTCAACCCAAACACGACCCGTGACACGAAATTTTTTAAAAATTACAACACGAACACAACACGACTACTTTACGGGTTGACACGACACGACACGAAAATGACCCGTGAACCTGAAATTGACACGAAAATTGTATACTTTTATTTAGTTTTTTTACATACTAGAAATAACTTAAAATTCATAAAACACTAAAATACAATAACATCCACTGAAATTAAGCAAATAATAGTATAAGATTTTTAGTATAACTATCATGATATCACAAGTTTATAATAAAATCAAAAATATGTAATGAAAAATATTTGTATTTTTTAGTTTTTTATGAGTTTCGTGTCGTGTTCGGGTTAGGCGGGTCCAACCTGAAATTGACCCGTGTTTTTCATGTCAATTTCAGGTCGATCCAATTCTGACTCGAACCTCTTTTTTCTTAACCCTAACTCGCAAAATTCGTGTCGTTTTCGAGTCGTGTTGTCATGTCGTGACCTATATTGCCGATCCTACTGGTAAGTATCCCAATAGGGTTTTTATCCCTCTGTATTGATTCTGTTAAATTGAAATCGAAACAGCAATTACAAAACAAGGAAAGCAGATATTCCAGAGATTAGCTCTCCCCTGAGCATAAGCTCTACAATTCACCCAAAATTTTCTAACTCCCTGCTCAATGCATTCCCTCACCCTTTATTCTATCTACTAACTGAAAATGAAAAATTCCCTTCAAACCTAACAGTATAACAACCATTGCGACAGCTCATCATTGACTCGCCCTACTAATGAGTAATTAATGTGCTACCCCTGCTTCTTCTATTGCCTCACATAAGTCGGGCGAGTGGGGGCCCTATCAAAGCCATAGACCACATACTGGCCAATGAGAAGTAAATATCCTAGAATCTTGCTTTATGACTTCATTTCTCGGTTATTTCCTGTTGGTAATTGTTTTGTCCTTTTCTTTTAAGTTCTAAAAGTTTGACAGCCTCCAGCTTCTGACGTTGAATTTCCTTTACTAGACTCGGCAACTTATTGATCCAAACATGTACTGGTTCACGATTCCAAATATTGGGTCAATACTCAAAGGCATCTCTCAGGTATCTAATTGCTTTGCCACTTTAGTTGTTCAGATCATTGTTTGGTTAATAAGAAAAGCTTATATTTGTTTTGTTGGTTCCATAAATTCTATGGAAAGCAATTTATCAGATTGGTAATTAATCGACCCTGATACAAGGTTGGCTAACATTATGAATATGATACATCTTATCAACTCCTTTTTCAGGGAAGAAAGGAAGTTCTTTCTCTTCTAAACCGCAGGAGATACAAAGAAATGATGCTGGCTTCGTTGGAAAAGAAACATCTTCGATTATCTTCACTTGATATGAGATTTCATTTGCGTGATCTGATTGGTTCAGGTCACCTGAAAATTGTTCAGACACCAACTGGTTTAGTTGTTCAAGTCTCAAAAGACTGAATTTCTAGGAGGACACTTCTAGTCAGATTTATCTAATCATAGATGTACTTTCTCTCATTTGTCTAGTTTATCGTTATCACCCTTTTATGCTCTACCTGAAGTTTCTATCACATATCCCTTGGCAGATTTTCTGAAAGCTAGCTAAGGAAGAGAAAATAGAGATTTCGTTCAACTTGACATAAAAGAATACAAGATGACGCGAATGTCATCTGTTCTTGATTTTGTATTATTCATATGTTTATTAAACTATTTATCAAGTTTTTCAGTGTACAATTATGATATTTACTGTGTTACACAACCAAAAAAAGAAAAAGAAAGCAAAGAAAAACGAGATGAAGGATTTACATTCACTATGTGGATAATTTTTGTACACATAGACTAAGAACTTCTGACTGTGTAAGATCAAGTGTTACAACATGTAGCAATAAAAAACAAGTTTATGTCAAATTTTTCTACTAGTGACTTGGATAAGTGGGGATCTAATTGGCATATGGCTTAATTATATACCGACACAGTAAATATGTAGTATTAACCTTTTGCAGTTTTCATCTATAATATAGCAGTACATTCTTCACTGAGATTTTAACAGTTGATATAAATGGTTTTCCATTCAAATTGGTTGGAAATATCAACTAGCATTTGCATTTCTAGTGGGCTGATTACTGTGACTTGTAATTACTTGGTAGTAATGCAACTTTATTAGGAAAAGAAAACCCCCATTTCCATTTTTGTGTATATAGACCTTGCTTGTATCTATGATGGCTTCTCAAAAAAAATGAAGATTGCGGTTAATGTTTGGTACAAGTAGTTAGGCATGTTTTGTGATATTTCTATTTCTCGAAATACGGTTCCTGTATAATTTTCTTTCAGTCCAGTTTGTCATTTATTGATAGTTTGGATCTTCTTTGTTTGGTGGCCTCTGAATGCACATGCAAAACATACGTACTAAACGTGGACTGTCAGGGACTTTATTAAGTAGTTCAATTACAGGACCAAGGTACCATCTGTTTCCATTTTCCAAGGAGGATTGCTGCTGAACTTGGATCCCTCCCGTACTAAGGCAAGTTGGAACGTTATTTGATAGTAACAGAACAAGAGTATTGTACTAATATTATACTATTCTTCTCTGTTATCTTGGACCACAGATAATTGTACAGTTATTTTGCCTCGAAGAGAAGTTCTTATTTTTCACACAAGTTATACCCTTTGAAGGTTCAGCCAAAAAAAAAAAAAAAGTTATACCCTTTTAAGAAGTTATAACCTCCCTCATCTTTTGTTAGTACTCATTGGCATAAAGGAAAAGAAGCATATTATTGTCTGATCATCTTTTATTGCATCGCAGACTGAGACAGCATGTGAAAAACTATTTGAGAGCTAAACTATTTGATTGAGGGCTTAATGGATTAACTAACTAATAGTAGGTGATTGGGTAGGTAGTAACTAAGTAAACTTTTATCTATTAAGTTCATGTTGGAGCAAAATTTCGTCCAACACTTATCCAACGTCCCTTGGTTGATCCCTATTAGATTGACCCTCGCCTTCATTTCGCTGGATCCGACGATGGCTACGCCCACTCCTAGCACTCCGAGAATTTGAAGGTGATTAACATCCACAGGTTCTCACCGGCACTTAAATTTTTCTATCTCATTGCTAGGTCATTTTCAGGTATGGTGAGTGACCAAGTCTCAAGTGCTCAATGTACCCATTCTGAGGGAACCCAAACAAGGGGACTCGGCGCTAATCCTGAAAAGGCACCACGTGCTCCTCGTCCACCAACACGCACTGACAGGATCGAAGCACGAGTGGACACGTTGGCAGGGATGGTGAATCAGCTTATCACTACCTTTAACACGGTTCGTCCAGCAAATAACCAACAAAGTGGGCCGGCGAATTCACGTAGTGCTAGGAGTGGGCGTAGCCATCGTCGGAGCCAGCGTAATGAAGGTGAGGGTCAATCCAATAGGAATCAACCAAGGGACTTGCCCGAGCCACAAGAAACACGTCACGCACCTAGGCGTCGGAATGCTTTGTCACGGATTGGGAGTCATCACGATGCAACTGAAAGAACTAGGACATCGGTGTTTGACAGGATAGAAGATAACTGTAATAGCGAAGAAGTTGATAGCACCTGGACACCTACGTCTGATGATTTCACCACTACTGATTTGCGGGATCGACTCAACACACAACGGAATGTACAAGCAATTGTACCTATGCCCTCAAACAACCAGGCAACTCAAAACAAGAGTAGGAGGAGAGCCGAAATACCACGATCTTTCCGGAGCCAAGTAAATAGGGCGAATCAGAACCAGAACCGACATGATAATCAAGGAGGCGTAAGTCAATCCAACAGGAGCACCCGTGAGGAACAACTCGGGCAGCAACTTGAAATGATGCAAAGGCGAATGGATGACATAAAAGCCAATAAGAATTTGCCGGATGGTGTAAGAGACTTGCTGGATGAAACAGAGCCACCATTCACTGAGGACATCATGGCAGAGGAATTTCCTACTGATTTCAAGATGATTCCCATCAAACAGTTTGATGGGAAAGAGAATCCAACAGGACATATACATGGATATAGCACATGGATGCGAATTCGGGGAGCCACACAAGCTCAGATGTGCCAAGCCTTTTCTTTGACGCTTACTGGGTCGGCGCTTCAATGGTTCCAACAATTAGAGCCAAGGTCAATTAGTTCATTTAACCAGCTGAAACAACAATTTGTAGGACGATTTGTAATAGCAAAAACTCGCAGGAAAGATAAACTTTATTTGTTCTCCCTTAAGCAAGGAGCTGATGAATCGTTAAAAGCCTACATTGAACGTTTCAGCCAGGAAATGAATTATGTGGAAGGATACACTGATAGTGATGTTGTGGCCGCAATTCGAGAAGGACTTCAGGAATGTGATATGCTGAAGTCAATTTGCAAAAAACAACCAAAAACCTTCGCCGATCTCGTGATCCGAGCTCAGAAGTTCATTAGCGCTGAAGAATACATGCGCAATCGGAGAGGACAATCTCAAACGGATCAATAAAAAAATGATGGAAAGCAGAAGGTAGAAGAAGGATCTAAAGGAGGAGAAGGAAAAAAGCAAAAGTTAGAGGCACAACAGGACATGAACAAATCCAAGACTGCCTTGACGCAAAAGTTCTAAGCTTACGCTCCACCAGCTACGACAAGGGCCTACACACGCTTGAATACGACAGTGGGACAGATTTTAATGCAGATTCAACATCGGAATTTACTGACTCTTCCAGCCCCTATGAAGGGAGATCCTAACAAGAGGGATAAAAGTAAATATTGTTACTTCCATAAGGACCATGGCCATAAAACCTTAAGTTGCTTTCAATTAAAAGGACAGATTGAGACACTCATTTCTGAATACAATTGCCTTGTGATTGTCTTCATTTTGTTTTTGTTATTCCTTCAGAGGTTATTTGTGTTCTTCGAGTGTTCTTCTAATTTCCTTAAATAATTTGCTTATTCAATCTAAATTATTTATCTAGGGACGTTGGATAAGTGTTGGATGAATTTTTGCTCTAACAGTTCATACTTCAACAACGTAAGAAGATTGCCCAATTAAACTAACAAGGTTCAGGCCTAATCTGCCAGAATTGATGATGCAGGTGACTTGATTTATGGGAGAACCTGATTCTATCAGGAATAAGGATCCGATGTCCGATTTTTTTGTCTCGTTGACTGTCTCTCTAATTAAAGTTTGTCACCTCATGAATTATTGAAGTATTTTTTAGTATTTAATTCCGATTCATATAGTGAGATTGCTGATTACATATGGCATGGCAAATAGGTAATAGAGGGAGAACCAAACAGACAAGAAATGCAGACAACAGATTTAGAAGTGTCTTGTTATCTTCCTATTACGTGTGAAATCAAACTTTTAACTATAAAAAGAAAAAAGAAAACTGCCCTAAATAACTTGTGCACAATACTGGGTCAGATGATTGTCATGGCATTACGTGGGAGTCCTCACTCATAACGCTGGTTTACTTTTTAGTTAATGCGTTTCTCTTCTGTAAGAAGAGTGATTTTGACAAGGATAAAATTTAATCCGGAACTTATACTATGTTTGGTGGACGAGAAAAGTGGAAGGAAAGAAAAGAGTGGATGAGAGAAAATGGACTTGTACGTTGTGTTTGGCGGAAAAGAAAAGAGAAGTTTTTTAAGAGAAAATTATGGAGTCAAACTACGTGTTCTTATTTTCAAACCAAGATAATATTAACTAATTGGTAAATAACATTCACTTATCACCTATTTTGTTTTCTTCTTATTCTACCAAACAGTTGAGAAAACTACTTCTTTCTCTGTTTATATTATCAATGTGAAATAATTTTATACGCGGATTAATAATAACATTAAACAGATTTAAACACTATTAATTAGTGGAAAAAAAAGAGATTAAAAACATGTCATATCTGAAAGGAATAAAGATGTATATTTAGAGAGACATGATTCTGTCTGTCTGCTAAACAGATAAACATAATTTTCTTTTAATTTGAAGGAAGTTTCTTCGGTTGGATGAAAAATAAATTTACTAATTTGATAATTTCTTATTTTCATTATTAAATTTGTATAAAAAACTATCACTAAATCTAACAATTAGAAACTGACCTTATCGATAAAAAAATCTCGAAAGAAAGAGTTGGCTCCACCCGGAATAAGAGGAAAACTGCTTGGATATCAATGATTTTACTGAAAAAAAACAAAATTCCTCAATTTGAAGGCAAATCAATCTAGAAAGAGTTGGGGCACGGAATCTTTTTTCTTGGGATTTTTAAGGGCATAGGGGGAATATGCCACTCAAAATAGTCAAATAGCTAAGATATGGACAGGACTTTCCAACCTTTTTCTTTAATTGTCATGACAAAAAAAATTAAAAAATTAATTGTAAAACGTAAAAAAAAAAGCCTTGACATCATTAGAAATTTAGAACCATTGAAAGCTACCCAAACAGAAACTCCAGGTTAATTAGGGCTAGAAAGTGATTATCCAAATTGGGTCAGTGTCAATTACCAACTGGGAGCAACAGAAATTTTGCAAGTATCTTCTTGTCCATTATGGAACAGTATATATATACGCGTGCCAATATTTTAATCTGATTTTGTTCGTTCCTTAATTGCTGAATTAGTTTCCATGCAAGTACAACTTTCTTCTTTTATTATTATTATTACACACATCGAATATCTAATTAGATACTTAATCTTATGGAAGACCTTTTCTGCAATGTTTGGTGATATGTATCCGTTAAATTTAAAGTTTCTTGTGTGTCAAGAAAACTATATATATTTATGCATGATTGCAATATGTGAGT